TAGAACTGAGATGGGCCTTTATAAAGAAGATGGCATTTCATAACTTTGAAGACTCTTCATTTAAAAGTCTCTGACTTCACTTTAAGGAAACTGCTATGGTTTGTCTGAATTTGTCTGAAACACATGAGCTGTTTGGCCACACCAGCAAGTTAAGGACTTGGACTTCTTTCTCCCTCTTATCTGTATATATATTTCTTTTGTTAAGAGGTCTCAATTCCAGTAGCTCTGCAAGTCTTTGATATTGACACCTCAGACTGAAAAAATATACCACAGGTCTTTGCATTTGATCCTCTGAAGTTGATGAGCAGGGCTTTTGCTCAAACCCACAATTGTTTTTCTGTCCAATGCCAATTAGGTTTTTTTGCAGAGACATTTTGCTCTCAGTGGTAGAAATAGATGTTAATGTGCAAGTGTTCAAGTCCCACACTTACATACTGTAGAAGGGAAAAGATGGGGTTTTTTTTTCCTGTTATCATGCTTCTTTTATAATATATGCCATGAAAGAGTTGAAAGGAGTTTGAAATTCTCTCCTGTGACAATTTTCTGATTACTCTGCAGTCTTTGGAACAGCTTGAGGATTATGCAGTGCCACTACAGCTGGGCAATAAACAGTTGTATTTAGTGAAAATTCTGGGAAATTTTTCATTAAGTGAAGCTGTCATTTGATTTTGAATCCAAGTTTCAAGGTCAATTAAGATTGCATCTGAATCCTTTCTATTTTTTTGGTGGATAAGAGTTCTAAAAGCTCATTTTAAAAAATTCTTCATTTTTTTTTTTATCTAGATCTGCATTCTTTTAATTTACCCGGTGTAGGGCAAGTTCAGTTTTAAGTGCATGTTTTAACTGCAAATATTAAACTGAATTGCATTTCTATTCTGCTGCAGCTGTGTTCCAGCAAAGCATTATTGGCTATAGCATGGCCAATTTTGTACTGCTCAGAGAGGCACGTCATGCATTGTATGCTTTTGGGTTTTTTTTTTAAATATACATCAAGGAAGTTATAAGTAGCACAGACACAGATTCAAACTGTAATTTCTGTTTCAAAGGCCTTTTTTCCAGTGTAGAGATTAGTGCTTAGTGTGTGCATAGAAAAAAAAAAAATCCTCCCTAAAGCTTTGCTTTCATATACTTACAGAATGCCTCCACTAAAAATGAAAGAACTGGTGAATGAATTTCACTACAGTGATTAGCTGTGCACATGAAGATTAGAAGAAAGTTACAGTTGATAGTTGAAGGAATAGAGGGGAAGCAACTCAGGTACTTTTTGGGTTGAATGTAGTGTGGTTTAAGAATCTCAAAAGAGAAGAAAATAGAATGAATTCTAGAACCTTTGATACTAATGTTCAGCAGAAAAATTAGGATTAAATCCTGCCCCAATTTGAATAAAATTCTATTGAGCAGGGTTCCACCCAGCATACTGATTTCCAGCTTCTTTTGACTAAAGCCTAAAAAAAGATTAAAGCTCCATGGCAACTACTATCTTAACTCCTGACAGCCATAGTATAAATTACATCTTGTGAAAACCTAATACTGAAAAGTTTTATTTAGGTCACCAGTCAGGCTACGAAATGGAAGGCTTGTAGATGCCACCCCAAACTTCATTTTGTCCCTTTATGGTATCAGTGAGGCAGAGATTTTTGTGGGTGGCAAATTGGATGCATATGTGGTATGAATAAAAAATCTGACAAGTTTTAGGTGTGTAAACTTTTTTCATACTTCTGGGGAAAGACTGCAATTTACTTGTGACTGTAACCTTCCAGTAAGGGATACAGCAAGGTTCAGCTGGGAGACAACAACCCAGATAGGGACAACATGAGGTTGTCACGATAGTTGCATTTGCTGGCAGTGGAGGAACAGTATTGGGCTGGGATTTTTTGTGTTTGAGGGTTTTCTTGTTTGCTTGGTTGCTCTTGGGTTTTGGTATTTTTGGGTTTTTTTTTTTGAGTGGTTGTTTGGTTGGTTTTTTTGGGGTTTTTATTTGGGGTTTTTTTGTTGGTTTGGGGATTTCGTGTGTGTATTTTGGTTGGTTTAAGTTGGTTTTTTTTTTGAGTGGTTGGTTGGTTGGTTTTTTTGGGGTTTTTTATTTGGGGGTTTTTTGTTGGTTTGGGGATTTTGTGTGTGCATTTTGGTTGGTTTAAGTTGTTTTTTTCTCATTTGTTTTTAATGGAGAGGGGAGGGAAATGGATGGAGGTTGTGAATTCATTTGCCCACAGATACTTCAGTTTTGCTACAGAAGCCAGGTCTCAGACTTGTGTGGAGATACTGCTTTCTTGTTGTTTAAGGTTAACAATGTATAGGTTATCAGTGGTGGAAATGAATATAAGTGGGCATTAAAATTCTAGAGTCAACAGAACTGTGGTAAACAACAACTGTCACAGACATATTTTATGAAAAATCCTTTTGCCAGGATCTTTTCTCCTGAGAAGCTGGGAAGCTTCAGCTTCTCCATGTTTTGCTGCTTCGGAATGTGATTTGGAGAATTGTTTACCCAGCATGTGAAATTGGTCATCAAGTAAAAACAATGACAGCCACCTGTGTCGAGGCTGTGAGCAGTCAAAAGATTTTATTATCATTCCTTTCTATTCTCTTCTAGCATTCTGATGGATCCTTTCTCTCTATTCTTTTTAGTATAGTTTTAGTATAGCATTTTAATATAATATAATATTACAATATAATAAATCAGCCTTCTGAAACATGGAGTCAAGATTCTCATCTCTTCCCTCGTCCTGGGACCCTTGAACACCACCATACAACAACAATGCAAGTCCCCAAATTTCTATTTGCATGAAGAATATCTGGTACTGCTATTTACTTCCATTTTCTTGTTCTTTGGCTATTTTTGACCCTATCCTCTCTGGGCTATGTGTTTTTCAGGTCTTGAAGAAGGACTTTGTCTGAGGAATGCTTTATTGGATCCATTAAATAGCCTGGATAGCCTGGTGGATACACCGGGAAGGACTGGTAACCAGGATCATCGATCCTGCCCTGCTTGCAGGCGCAAAGCAGGGCAGAGGGAGTGGTTTGTGTACTCCCAGCCTATCAGCTGCTGCTGGGCAGACAGAATTATTCCAAGGCTCTTTTAGACTCATCAGATAGCAAAGTTCAAGTCTTCAATATTCTATTTAAAAGGAATAAACCACTCTTGATTTATCAAATAAAACCAACAAAATATCAAAATTAGATATGTACTACTCCCATTAAAAATGTACCAGAGTTGCAGCCCACTGCATTCCTACATTACTGCCTATGTAGAAACTTTGCATTGAAAATGTTTAATGGTAACAAGCCACCTATTACTGGAGAAAGAAGCAGTGCCAGTATAATCAGTTTTACATGCCTGCAAGTAGAATTGCTTTGCCTTTTCCTCCAGCAGCTGGAGTTTGATCACAGTGTAATGTACTTCTTTATAAACTGGATAAATTGTATGCTGATGTTCAAATAGATCACAAGCTTTTATCCTGTGACAGATAACAAGAGCATACTCAAATACAGATAGGTAGTAAAGTCTATTAAAAAAACCCAATTTTTTTCCCCCCAAGGGTGTAATATTGAGATTACAAACAAACAATTATTGTCAGTTGAACACAGTGAGTTGTATAAGTTAACCAGGAGAGCTGGGACACAGGAGATGATGTCACAAGTACATGTCCTTTTGGGAGGGCTTTAAAGTAGGGTAAATGATTTTGTATTTCTGAGTGTAAGATCATCAGAATTTCTGCAACAGTGAAGAAGTATTTGTATTAATTTCATAAAACTTGGAAATGTTAAATAATAGATGAAGTGATATGGAAACAGACAACTGAGATTTTCTAAATAAAAATACATGCTTTGGCTATGATTTTCAGTGCAGTAATCTGCAATCTAATGATAGTATGCACCAGCATGGCAAATTCATCTACAGCATGATTACATTTTATGTAGTAATAAAAGGTAGGAATAACTTTGAGTCTTTCCCCTCTTACACAATTCAAATATTTGTAGTAAACTGTAGCGGTTCTTCTGGATGATTTTGTGTAAAGAACATGTGATAGATTTAGTGATTATCATACCAGAGTATTCTAGACTTGTCTTCAGAAGTTGGACTTGCCCCTTCCCAAAGCACTGCCAGGCCAGCTGAGTTAACAGAGATGTGTCCACTCTTATGCTGTGCAACTTTTGGCTGTGCCCACTGTGGGGAGGGTCTTTAATGCATTACCTGATGAAGCTTTGCAGCCACAAGACTTGTTTTCCTGTAAACATGCTCTGCACTTTTGAAACCTGCTTAAGAATAAAAGATTGTTTTTTTTGAAAAGTGACATTTTAAGTATATAAACTTTTTTTTAGAAAAATCCCAAATGTTTTGTCACACCTGTGGCTGTTGCCACAGAGACAAAATTGGTTTGGGGGAAGCAGAAGCAGGCCAGACTTAAGTCTCATATTTAAAAAAACATTTTTCGCTTGCAACCCTCTGTCTTGTATTTAATGACTTTTCATCTATACTTGCTGGCATGAGGTGCAGTAGCAGAGAAGAAAGCATCCATAGATTTCAAAGGCTTGACTTTGTGAAGTGTACTAGAGTAGCTGGAACTGCAGCTTCAGTAACTGCTAACTGTAAAAGGCCATTAAAACTTATGAGAATTAACTGAAAAGAAATTTAAAACTTATAATATTTCAAATCTTGCAGATTCCTCAGAAGCAGGTTCCTCAGAAGAGGAATGGCCTGACAGTACCCAGAAACATTCCTGCATCAATTCTGTTGCTGGATGAAGGTTTTGTTCCAAAAAAAACCAACCAAACTTAAAAGCCATGAATGCATAAGATGTTGAAACTGTGGGGTTTTTTGCCTTGAATAGCACAAACAAGGAGAGACACTGGCTGCAAGCTCCTGAACTAAAGCCAGCACACAAATACTGAGTAATGAGAGGTCAGTAAGTTCATTCCTGTAAGAAACTGCTTGTGTTTTTTTTTTTTTTTTAAATCTCCTGCTATTTTTGGAATACAGCTTTGAGACAGAAGTTTATTTCAAAAACTCAGTAAGAAAAAGTTGTTTTGAGTTAGGGTCATGTTAGTATGCTTGCCATTTGGTAAAGCTCCTCCTTGAGCTTTACAGCCAAAGTAAATCTGCATATAAAGATACATAAAATGTGCTGCAAATCTAGTTCTAGTTTTCCTTTTTACTAAATTAGGCACAGATTTTAAATGGAATTACGTGATGAATATAAAAATTACCTTCTTCCATTCAATTTTTTATAGCTGAAACTAAGTTCCTTAGGCTGACTATGCTTTCAAACACCTATTACCTTCTCACTTATGTTAACTGGTATTATTTTCTAAGAGCTTGTGCCTCTTCACTCTGCCCCTTTCTCCAAAGGTGGTATGCAGCCATATTCTTCATCAGGTGCTTTATCTCCTATTCAGTAGCCTGTAACAGATAAGAATGAGGTGAAATTTTAAATCGTGGCTTTGGCAAAATATGGAATCTGCACCTAGCGGCTTCTGTCTCTGTTCAAAGACTGGCTCTATAAAAAAAAAAAAAAAAAAAAAAAAAAAAAAAAAAAAACAAAAAAAAAAAAAACAAAAAAAACCAACCAAACTTAAAAGCCATGAATGCATAAGATGTTGAAACTGTGGGGTTTTTTGCCTTGAATAGCACAAACAAGGAGAGACACTGGCTGCAAGCTCCTGAACTAAAGCCAGCACACAAATACTGAGTAATGAGAGGTCAGTAAGTTCATTCCTGTAAGAAACTGCTTAACTGAAAACTCTGTTTTCAGCAGAATGGTCAAGTTTCTACTGAAGGCTTGGTTGCATCCTAACTCAGGTATTCTAATTGAAGTCATCTAACTCAAGGCTCTAAAACATGGCTGACAGAATCCATTAGGTATCATGGGTCACTCCATAGGAAGTATCTGAAGCAGTAACTGGTACTGCAATTTCTGCTGTGCTTTTGAATGATGTAGGCAGATATTTAATGGAATATTATGAGTTTCAGTTGAAGTTGGTGCTGATATAAACAACTCCATTAAAACAGACTATATAATAGTTTTGCCACAATTTTATTTCAGTGTATAATTTCAAGTAGTTCTCTGATTAAACCCATCAGAGAACACCATGTGAGCTGTTAGGCTTGGCAAGATCATGAGATGGTTGACTGGTCTTCCAATAACTCTAAATAAATGGCATGCATTACTTCTTTAGCTGCCTCTCATTACTGTTCATACATTAAAAATACTACACTTCTTCCTAAATCTTATTGTGATATGAACAGAGCCACTGGAATCATGTTACCTTCTACTGGAATCTCACTGGGAGCTGGGGATGGCTGGCTGCATTTATCGCTAAATTTCACTAGAGCCCGTCTTCAGTCCAGAGTCTCCCTGTACTGTTTGTGTCACAGTGATTAGATTTTTAGTACAGAGTGGAATGATCATCATCTATTTCAGCTGGGAAAACGGGGGGTCATTCACAAACAGTCGTACCTAAAACCAAAGTCCCATGCACTGCTACTAAAGATGCACCAAAAAAAGCCTAATTTCATATAAATCATGCAACTTCTTATCAATGAGAGCCCAACATTCCTGCTCATTTCCAGTTTAGAAGATGAGAATATATAAGTAGAAACTAATATATTTGTGTCATTACTTAAAGTAGCAAAAACCTGGCAAAATGACTGACCATGGCTTTATCACAGTGGAAGGAGGCAAATGAGTGGATGAAAATTACATGGGAGTAATTTTGTTTAAAAAGATAAGTAAGTTGAAGTATTTTTACAAACATTTACAATCCTTGACTTATCAGCAGAAGCACAAAATCTATTAACTTATTCTTTGCATTTCATGAAGTTCCTTATCAGCATTAGCCAGCTTTCTCATTTTTCCTTTTCAACCAAGTCACATGGTGGAAGATTTTGATGGTTCTGGAGTGCACCATTCATGTAAGAAAAAAGAGGAACATATTCAGGAATTTACCCATTTTCCATAATGACTCCAAACCCAGTTCTCCTAGTGTCATATGTAATTGTCAAGTGGTACAAATCTGGCTCATTCTTAATGAGCAATTTTTAAACTTAAAATTTAGAAAAAATAGTAATTTTAAATGTCTGCCAGATAAACATACCTAATATTAATTTGATACTAGTGTTATAGAACAGCACTTCAATGATTATTTAATATAGTACAATAATAAATTATAAAAACCCCTAGGACGTGAAGAGATTAAGATCAAATGCTGCTAATTTTGTGCCATAGCAAAAAGAAAGCTGCAAAACCCCACCAAATCTTGTGAGATTAATAAATAGGAATTCTATTTTCAGATGTTGAGTAATTATATGCTATTTAGGTTCAGAAACCACACTTAAAGGTGGAGAGAGTTCAAACAAACAAGATAGAGAAAAGATATAGAAGACAATGACTACTAATGATAGAATAGAGCCTAGAAATGAGAGAACTGAGGTCAGGAATCCTCAGTAATGTGAAAGTTTGCTTTCAAGAGGAAAGGGACAATCTGTCCAAGTGAAAAGGACAATAACTGATGTCCCTTGGATGGAGGGCTGGAAGTTTAAATAAGACACTAGGGAGAAAACAAAACAAAAAAAATGAGCTGTCCAACCATAGTGGCAGTGAAGCACTGGATATATTACTTTGGAAAGTAAAGATCTCCAGTGACAAAGATGCTACAAGGCAGGGTAGACAATTATGCTGACATCAGTTTAATTGTAACTGATCCTGCTGGCAGGGGAAATGGATTGGATCAGGAGTTCTTGAGCTGTGGGAAGACAGTGACATGTCCTTGGAGGCCCAGGTAAAGCTCCAGAAGAATTTAATTTGGTATTTCTCTTTCTTCTGACCTTTTCCCTTTGAAGTTCTCTCTGAAAGTCATTTGAAGAATGTTGTACTTATTCTCAGTCAGCAGGAGAGGAAGGGAGCAGAGCCATCAGACTCTCCCTACCTAGGGGCACATTTTGAGCATTGCCAGTGGCCATCTGGGGGGACACTTGTTCCATGTTCATTGCATTGCCTTGGCAAGCGTGAACTGAACTGTGGTGAAGGTTATGCTGCCACCCCAACAGCAGAAAGTCCATGTGGGCTGACCCTTCCCTTTCTAATGAAATTCAGATCCACTACTGAGGAGCATTTAGAGGCATAGGATGTGAGGAATGGTGTCATTTCCCTCGGGCATCAAAACTTGGGTCAGGGAGAGGAAGTTTCTATTGATACCTGGCAATTCAGGCAGCAGCTGCAGAAAACAACTACCCAGGGACAAGACTCTAGCTATGCTACAGAAGTAACCTCTACTTGCTGGACTGAAAAGAGGGATATGTGTGTGTGTGTCCAGGACTGCCTTGTCAGTGAAGAAAACATGGATGGCAGATGGAAAAAAAATTGGAAACTACCAGTTTAGACTGATATCTAAAGAGACAGTAATGCTACTGAAATAGTATTTAAGTGAGGTCAGTCAAAATCCCTCCTTCCCACTTCTCAGGCAGCTTGAGTCACTAATTCTTGCAGTTGAAGGAATATAATAATTGCACATCAGTCTGGTCTTCATCTCTTTGATCTCCCTGCTTCAAGACAAGAACAGTCTGACTTAAAGGAAGGTTACAATGACCTTATTTAGTTATATCAGTAATTCATATTTCAGTGTAAATCCATGGCCTGGACAACTGATGTTTCAATTTCAGCTCTGCAGTGTTACAGAAGTTAAAATTGTCACTTGTCTCTCTTTTGCTCATTGTCCTACTGGGTGGAGCCTGCTGGTGCAGCTCCCTGAAGGCCTTTGACTGAAGATGGCCTGCCAGAATAGGTTGCTCAGGAGTTTTCTTTGTATTGCAGCTCAGCCAACTCTTTGCAAGCCCAGCCTCTAAATTCCCAATGACAAAAAGATCCCTGGCAAAACATCAGGATTCTTTGATACCACATGAACCATGTTCTGGGAACGGCACCAAAAGATCTTATCCAAACATTTCTCACAGACTTCACAAACACTAGGGAAAACCAACTCAGTCCAACAGGCACAGGGAAGAATGAGTTGCATCTTTCTGCTCCAATGAGGTCTTTATTACTATTAAAGGGTTTTATCTCCAGGAAGCGACTTCTTTTGTCTCCCTCTATTTCTGGAAAATGGGGCCTTAGCTCCCATTTCAGATCCCACAGTAGCCTTGTAACTAAGAAGTAAAGCTGACCTTAACCAGACTTAAAGTTTCTACTCAGTTTCACAATACACCATAAAGAATTGCTTATTTTCAGATCTGAACTTTGTTTAGAGACTTCCATGAGTATCTGATGAATTTTTTAACCCTTTATGCTAATAACTATTGTGACTCAAGAAAACAAAAATAAGATGGTTGACTGAACAATCATTCTAATTGAAAGTGTTTAGCAGTTAGTTGTATAGAGAGTGAACATATGGTTTGTTCTATATATAAAGCTTTGTGGATGCTGCAGTCAGTGCCAGAGACAAGCTCCTACCTATTCTCAGAGAGGCCAAGCAGTAGTCCTCCCTCAAGGATCCAGTACTCTTTACTTTGGCAAGGAACGATGTAATGACCTGATTGTTTCTTCACATACTTTTTCAAAAGGTCATAAGTTAACAGAGTCTAGGAAAAAACTAATTTACCTTGCTTATTTTGTGCAATTAATTATCTAAAGACATGTATTATTTAGTTAAGTTCTATAGAAATGTAAAAAAAAAAAAAAATCCATAAGCATGCACATCCCCTAAATTTACTTTCTGAGTAAATTTGTGTTTAGTACCTGAAAAATGAGTGTTAGAGAATCTGGAAGAAAGGCAAATCCCTTGTTTGTAAAGACAAAGAGTTTTGTATCCCTCATCAGCACAATTTCAAAGCTTTCTACTTTTTCCATTCTAACAGCATGGCATTCTGATTTCCCTGTGTTTAACACTGTAACTACTGCAGCAATGAGATTCTTGCATACATCTCTGAGGCAAAAAATCCCCCAAACATTCATAATTTATGACAAGTAATTATTTTGCCCACAGAGTTGTCACCATTGTGTTTTAAAGTTTGACGTGGCTTGGTTTATGAAACTCCTGAACAATTCTATGACAGTGATTTCCAATTCCCCAGCACAGACGTAAATGTATCCAGTTGCAACAGGGCTGAAATTCTGGCCTCACTGAAACCAGTGAGAATCAGGAGTTAACCTTTGGAGTTCTGAGCTTTCCTAATTAAGGAAAAAAACCCTGGTTTTTTGCTGTAATTTGGTTGAGACTTGGCCTAAAAAAGTCTCCACATCAAAGTATTGCAAGGATGAGTCTTTGGCTAATGCTTTATGTTCAACTTGCTTTCAAAGGAGATGATTTCAGCAATGCTTGGCATTGTTAATCTATGTAAATTCTGAATCCAGCCATTTGCAGTGTGAAAACAGGCAAGGCAATTCAGGCACAAATTGCAGAAAGTAG